TCTACGGAACAAGTCGCCACATGTTCCAACCCCCAACCTGGAGGGCCAGGAGACTGTGTTCGTCAGACCTCTAACCATTGACCAACCTGGTATGAGAGACTCTGTGAGTGTCGCGGGACACTCTCCAGTATGGCTCAATGGATCGCTGAGGTGCGCAGTCAGTCACACCACGGTAAGGTTCAGTCTCTTCGTGACGGGTGAAGGACAGGTTTAATCCAAATCTGTCGCGACTGATGCGATCAGAAAGACACACACGCTCACATCGAGTTACTTGGAGGCCACCAACCGCAAAACAGTCATGGACTCAGCTGGACCGTGTGGCAATCAGTTAGCGATGGCGAGCCTCAATTTAAAAAATCATTCAGCTGGAGTACTCTTTTGGTGCCTAACTGTCATGCCACCCAAAGGAAGGACGAGGGCTGGAATACTGACAAGTGGCCCAAGCCTAGACAAGTAAATTCGAGAGGCAGAGGTCAGTTTCGAACCACGAACCTTCCGGTCAGTAAATTCGTGCTTTAACCACTGAGTTATCTTGCCCTGAGCCTTAATTAAGGATTGCCGTTCGTTCTGTGGTACGCTTAAAGGACGACATAGAACGCTGGTGGATTTCAAAGGCCCGGAAGATGGAGAAGGCTTTCGCTGCATGCAACAGCCGCCCTATTTCAGATGATTCGATCAACTGGTTGAAAGCAGGTGTCAGTGAAACAATATGTGGAAAAGACGGAACGGCAATTCACTTCTTCGATTGTCGTCTTGAGCGATGGTTGAGTACTTCAAAGAACAGTTCAGCCTGTCTCCTTCAACACAACAGCTAATAGAACCCTCCGGGGTTGAATGGAATATTAACACCAGCCCGCCATCAACAACAAAAATCCAGCGAAAGATATCAATCTTTAAGTGCAAGGCGCCTGTCGCGGATGGTCTGTACTCCCGCACTCTCCAGAGAAGGTGACGGGGTCCTGGTGAAGTCTGACATCAATTCTGCGGCAGATTTGGAACCAGAACAGAATACTAGCCGAATGGAGCTCCTCGACCTCGGCACAAGAACCTCATGCAGAAACCATCGAGGTATCAGTCTGGCATTCGTCGCATCTAAGGTGTTCTCGGATTATTTTGCGCATGTTGATCGGTTATCGGGACAGATTCGTGAAAATCAATCTGGGATTCTCCCTGGCCGAGGATGCATGAGCCATATCTTTACCTTGAGACCAATTCTCGAAGGGCACCACGGCTTCAAACGTCCCATGTTAGTTGTTTCTTGATTTGAAATCTGCTCTGGACTATGTTGATCAAGGAACGAGATGGCTCAGAGGGTGAATTTACTGACCGAAAAATCCGTGGTTCGAAACCGGCCTCTGCCTCTCGACTTCCGCTGTCTATCCTTGGACAACCAGCCAGTATCCCAGTCCTCGTGCTTCCCAGCTAGCATCTAGTTACCGAAAGGATGTTACAGCTGAATGCTAGTTGTCCCATCTTGGTGCCACTCAACGCACAATTGTATGCCACACCGACGCGAATGCCCTGACGAGCGACTTGTAAACACTTTCCCGAAGTTGAGACGTGGCTGATACTACCAGGAAAGCATTTTCCCATCCCATTGCCTATATCTAACAATCGGGCAACTCGTACTTTCTTCTCTAGCGGCCCGCACATGCTGAAATGTAGTTTGCCTCCGTTTTTCGTCACTTTGCTTCCCTCAACTCATGTCAACGGCCATTCAGGGCCCACATTCATATCTACCTCAGTCCAACTCAGCTTATCATTCCGTTTTTATAGTTCAGGGTTCGTTGATTGGGGGTTCTCAATAACCCTGTAATTTCAATGAGTAAAGAAAATAACTGTTTAAGGGATGTCACTGCGTAGGGTTGCCACTAAGACACTAACCCGCTTTTTATCATTCATTAATAGATTGTCATGAGGAGCTGACGAAGAACACCCCATCAGCTCTTAACAGGGAATCTGAAAAGCACTGCTCAATAGAAGCAGTACTATCTTGTTCGTCTGACGTGACCAATTTCGCTGGTGGTCTTCGTTACTATCTTGCACCATTTCAGAGAGCGTTCTTACGTAGCTCTAGTGACACTAGGTAAACTGTGGTAAGCCCCAGTATAGCTCTGCCGGCTTGGCGATTTGCAAGGAGCCCCGAAGAGCTCGTGGGCAAAGGTCGAACAGTTTCGCGAGAGAGTTTATGAATCTCGGTCACGTGGACTGTTTTAGAAGCTGTCCATATGAACCTTGGTTGGCCTGGCGCGTCCAGTTCGGGCTTTGCGTCCACCAGTGAGACAGACTTACAAGATAATTTTTATTTCACTTCAAGATCGTCGACTGCTGCTGATAACGAATCAACAGTTAACATGGCAATGATGCGGTTTATGTAGGAAATAACTTACTTTCCGTGAGGATCGACGGTAGAAACTACCATGCACACCTTAATAATAGAGTAAGCAGTGATCTGCATTACCTTCTCAAATCCACGCAAGTATTTGTCTGGGCGACTGTAATGCCTGAACGGGTTCTCCAGCAACTCGCAAATGCGCTGGATTGTGAACGGAATGCTGAAAGTATTTTTTTACCAGAAAAGTAGTTTACCCATCCAAGCGCTTAAGTGTGTCGTACACTCTCTGGCGCAACTCAGCCGTAACAGGTGACACCGCCATAGAGTCGGATGCACCACTATCACTCAGGAGTCCATCAACTACCTTGTTAAACTTGTGCAGCAAGAGAGGTTTGATGTATATCCAAGGGATCCTAAATCATGTAATTAACAAAGGTACCTCCGTCATACATCGTTTGACCGTTTCTAGCTATCTGTCTAATATAATCTTCCAGTACTGGTGGGATGTTGTTCGGCTTATCTTTCTCGAAACCTACATAGGATTAGAACAAGTCGCGAGTGCCATGTGCTACTTTTGAGCGAACATATGATGCTTTCTCGATTTTCCATCGGCAGAAGCGTCATGCGTTATTGAGGACGTGAAACTAGAGGAATGTGATAATCCTTGCCAAAGCGGTTCAAAAATTAAGGACGTAAAGCGGAGCCCTCAGCACAAGTCTTCGCACCAACTAACTCGCCGACGCCGCGAACTAGACCGCACTCATTCACTGTTCCGATTGGTTCTTTCAATGAGCATTCCACGGGCCTCAAGGTCAAAACGAGTGGGGCCAGGTCTGATTTTCAGAGGTTCACTGAAGTTTCCTAAAAGCAGTGGAACTTTTGGGTAGAAATGTGGCACTCGCTTGTATCTACAGAATTCCCTGAATTTAAGGAAGTTGGTTCAACTCGCTTGGTATTGCGGAAGTTCCTTACTTCCTTAGTAAGAAATCATCACAGCCCCTTATATCACTCCGTCGGAAAACGATGTACCTGAAAATGCATACAGTAGCTCCTCAAAAGCGCGTTTGAAGCACCCGTTCCCCGGAAGAGCTCCAGCACAATCGAGGTCCCGGGGCAGCATGTTCAAAGTTGGCTTAGTTTTTGTTCGTGTAACTTTGTAGAAAAGATTCTTTCGTCATTTTAACTATTTACAGAGTTGACACGTGTAATTCTGATGAATTTTTTCACTCCAGCACAACCTATGGGTGAAAAACTCTGTCACATTGCCCTACACTTTGTGGTGCACCCACTTTTGCAATCATGAGCCAGATTATTGCAGTCTGCTCTCCTTCGTTGGACCACAACAGATGTGGATGAAATTGAAGTCCATCGAATGCAAGAAGGAATACAGTGCCGTAATAATAGTAATAATAATAATAATTTCCGACTAGTGGGTAGCATACCGTCAGGCATGAATATAGTATTACAGTCAGAATAAGAGCATGACTGATGAGGGTTGCGAATATTGGGGATTTCCTGGCAAAGAGACGGTGACGTAAACAGTGGGCATTAACGTAGTAAACTTCACCACACCTGAAGTGGCATAGGTGGGGAGCAAAAATTACAAGGGCTCCTGTCAGATCTGCCGGCATTTTAATGTACAAGTTTTTATGGTGACCAGATAAGCCAGTTATTCCACTCGCCGAACCCCTTTTATCTGCTCCAACTTCCTCTGTCTAAGCGGAGCGATGCATTCCACAACTGGCAAGATGCTGCCGAGAATGAAACCAATCCTATACTCCTAATTCAGAAAGACAAGTACAAATGTTCCATTTTAATCAGGATACTCGAGGAAAAACTAGTGTTTCTTTCGAAAGCTCTGGAGAACGCTAAAATAATTAACGTTATTTCCTCTCGAACGAACACCAGGCGTTCTTTATCCTGACCCCTTTGGCTCATGGCTCTCCAATGCGGGAATTAAAACCAACACGACATCTTTTGCGGACGGGCTCATATGCGAGTCCAGCCCGATCTAAGGGTGTCCCTTAGAGCAAGTACGCCAACAGCTGGCACAAAGGCTCCTTAGTGGTGTTGTAACAAAGCCTGGATACGAATCGTTTCTCACGGAATGGCTAGGCAATAAACTGAGAAGAAAATCTCTTGACCCTCTACTCACACGTTCCTCCATGTGAATCTTACAGAGGCTATTAGATCGGGCTGTCATTATTTAAAAATCCTCCCAAAGACCTAGGGTTGCCCCTGCAGGTGCAAAAATAGGGCAACAGCGGTTCTAAGTAAGGGCGCGAAAGAAGTTTTAGTTTAGCAACAAATCAGCCAACCCCAACTTATGGCGAACCTATGGTAGTTATCGACTCAGTCTTATTTAAAGCATACCGTTGTGACAACCCCAGACTCCAGGTTCCAGTTTCTATGATACCTTCAGGTACCCTCGATTGCCAAAGGCAGCGATGATAGAAGAGTGGCTCGTTTCGCGAGGAAACCGCTTCCAACGTGTGCGGAACTATCGTCGCCAATCTCCATATGGGACGATGAGAGTGCAGCGGTGAGCGTCACGCCTAATTAGCCACTCCTAAGTCCCAACTTGCCAGGCTTGCGGAACCAGGCAGTGTGGTCCGTTGACGGGTCAGCCACAACATTTCGCTCCGACTTCGGGGACTCCTGCGAGAACCACACAACCACTGAAAATGTGAGACTGTCACACTCCAGCCCCACTGCTTCAAAAGTGGTTTGACCGATTATCGACCTAGCGGTCACTCGTGACACCGATAGGCAAATCCACAACTCCGACAACAGTGCACCGGAAGATACTTCGAACACCAGTTTGGCAACACTGATCGCGGGCTGCCAGAGATTCTACAAGAACATAAAAGGAAAGGAGCTGCGGTCATACAAGCCACGAAAACTTCACCCAATGGAGCCGTTGCATGGTAAATCTAATAGTCATTTGCCAAATCGAGCGTCTTTGAAAAACCTCCAAGATGTACACTCGTTTGTGGTGCGATTGAACGCGCAAACGTCTCAACATGGCCTTACAGAGGCGCCTTGCCGCATGGACGCATTTCCCCCAAATTCCCAAAGAACTTCGAATCCAGGCGTCAATAGGGTGGTACTGCACGCGCTTCGAGCAGCACCTAATGAACTTTTCAGCCACCAAGGAAAAAACGACGTTCTTCAAAGGCAATGCGCCCGCGCAGACCAGACTCTTAGGGCGCAAATCCCCTGCAAACGAGGAGCAGCTCTCCGAAACACCGAGCCCAAAAGCGCATGAACACGTCGCCGGAGGCTACTCGAAGCCGCGAAGTCAAGCCGGGAGGAATGCTATTACATCTGTTGCACTCCTGTACACCTCCTCGACACCACTCGTGTATGATTCTTGACGCATTATAGGTTTTGATTCTGTCATGTGGGACCAATTATTTTGTTCTCAACCTGGTCTACCGCCGTTACTCAAGTCTGTTTGTAAATGCCCCTCTGACAACTCTTCCAGCAACAATTTTACGAATTTCATGCCTCTAGGTAGTTTTAGTGCTCCTAGGGCCTTCTGCATGGAGCTCCAGGTATCGGGTTTGGTGAACATTTTTCATCGGCGCTGACCAAAGCCGCTCAACAAAGCGCCCGAAATCAACGCGTCGTCACGCCTCCAAGATACCACGCAGGACAACTATCTTTACCGTTGGGTTTGGTTGCTACCACTAAAAGACCGGTGATCAGGTGGTAATATAGGCTTTACAAGCATAGAGAACATTATGCTGTTTGTTGATGCGCAAGGAGTAGAACGCTCATCAACTCTTGCACCAGATGAAAGTTTTCAGTGCAATGAGGCCAAACAAAGTCCAAGAATCGTTTACGTTGACGGAGAATCGTCAGTGGTTAGATGAAGGCGAACTTTTTTTGCTTGTAACAGAACCATTGTAATGCCGATCTACAAATACGCGACCGAATATTGCAAGCAGCCACAGGTTCATTGTCCTCAACGGCGTGCAGTGTAAGGTCGTGGAACGCATTCCGAAGCGGGCCACCCTAAAGTATCTCATTGTTACCAACTTGATATCTCCCGCAATACAAGGAATCCTCCCAAACCGTCTTCTCATAACCTAAACCCTCGTTTTATGGACAGCTTAACAGTACGCTAAGGACGAACGATTCATATCAGATACCAGGTTTTTCGACTTCTCAGGCCCACACATCATGCCGCTCCGTAAGCCACCCATGGTATTCAGGGACATTTCTACACTAGATTTGGACATTTCTAACGGGCAGAACACTTGGAGTAAAAGTAGTCGTGATCGGAGTTCTTCAAGGCTCTGTTTTGGAATATTTCCGATTCTTACCAATGTCAACAACACTTAAATTATTGCGTTTTGTGGAAGAGTCGAAACCCTGGATTCTAAGCAATGGCGCCTGCAGATGTACGTTGATGCGCAACGCAGTGCTCGCTTGAATGGCACCTTCGTCTGAGTGGCGAAAAGTGCGTCAATGTCTCTTTTGGAGGAGACCCGCCAGATGCCTTTGCCGTACATGCTGTAAGTTCCGGGCAGTTATGAATCTCACAGAACGATTGTGGCTATAAGATTATACGCAGTTCGTAGCCAGTAGTCAATAGGAGCAGACAGATGTTATGTTGAGGACAGACAGGAACTGGTTCTACAGACAAACGGATTAGTAAGCATCGTGAATTAAGCAAGCGTACACTCAATAATTGACGCAATCAGCATGAGCGGAAAATAATCACTGACGCAGCAGGGTTTTCCAGAGGTAAGAACAAGTAAGTATGAAACGATGTACAAAATGCATATAGGGACAGTCTGACGGTGTGAGCCGTCCATGTAGAGACATAACGGCGCGGAAATCAGTACGTTCGGGATGTGAGGGGCTCTCTTTCGGTTGGCAGTGCGACGCGGCAGCTCGTCTCATGCCAGAGTGCGCTGTTTCGTCTGTTTAAAGCAAATCTCGGCAAAGGCTACCTGGCAGATGCGGTACATGAGTAATGCAAAATAATAGGCCATTTCGGGCGCCAGGCAGGTGTATTTGGTGACGCGTTTGCCTACCGTCCGGGGACTCTGGGTTCGATACCCGGTCTGTCTGCTTACAGCTTAACAGTACGCTAAGGACGAACGATTCATATCAGATACCAGGTTTTTCGACTTCTCAGGCCCACACATCATGCCGCTCCGTAAGCCACCCATGGTATTCAGGGACATTTCTACACTAGATTTGGACATTTCTAACGGGCAGAACACTTGGAGTAAAAGTAGTCGTGATCGGAGTTCTTCAAGGCTCTGTTTTGGAATATTTCCGATTCTTACCAATGTCAACAACACTTAAATTATTGCGTTTTGTGGAAGAGTCGAAACCCTGGATTCTAAGCAATGGCGCCTGCAGATGTACGTTGATGCGCAACGCAGTGCTCGCTTGAATGGCACCTTCGTCTGAGTGGCGAAAAGTGCGTCAATGTCTCTTTTGGAGGAGACCCGCCAGATGCCTTTGCCGTACATGCTGTAAGTTCCGGGCAGTTATGAATCTCACAGAACGATTGTGGCTATAAGATTATACGCAGTTCGTAGCCAGTAGTCAATAGGAGCAGACAGATGTTATGTTGAGGACAGACAGGAACTGGTTCTACA